AACAGCTGTAAATAAGGGCAAAAGTGGTAAGCTAACAGGTACTCTTAAATTCGATGTTAATTCAAAAATTATTTAATTATTTACCAAAATATTACTATTTTGCAGATTTTACATTGTACGACATTTAAAAACAACAGTGTCTCACTTTCAGATCGTTGATAGTTGTTACGTAGTAAAGTCGTAATTTAACTATGTAAATATTTGTTCTGGAGATTAAGATAAATATATTATGTAAATTTCATTTAAATCGACTACTTTTTTACATATTTGCATACTATAATTAGGTAAAAAAATTTAAAAAAGTTCAAAACTTGCTTCACACAATCATAATATACAAAAGTGCATTAATAAAAAGATATTCGATTTATATTAAATTTTCAGAATATACATATTTTGATCTAAGCGATTTTACTTAATACATAAATGTCAATTTACATAGTAAAATTTTGACTTTACTATGTAACGACTACTAATGATTTTTATTATTAAAATAATTTTTTTTTTGGTATTTATAATTAAGAAAAGGTAAATAAACTTAAGGAATTGTTATTATATTTATAAGCTAAGCTATAAATAATATGTAAAAAAAATAATTAAAACATGCAAAAAAAATCAAATTATTAATAAAATAAATAAATTAAAATATAAAAAAATTAAAATAATTTAATTAGTAGTTATTTGATTAGTAAAATTTAAGTTTTATATTATTATTATAATTATAAATTAATGTTAAATTTTATTTATAAAATTATATATATATTAAAAATTATTAAATCTTTATATTTGCAATTATAATTTTTTATTTTATATAAAATATATTTATACAGTATAATATAAATTAAACTATATATTATATAATATAAATTAAACTATTTATTTATTTATTTTAATTTTATATAGATTACTTACAAATAAATATTAAAAGAAGGTTAATTTAAATATAAATAAATTTAATTTTAACTCTATTGAAATTACTATTGCAAGGTAATAAATTTAAATCTAGATTACTTACTATTAAAATAATTTATATCTATATCTATATCTATATCTATACTATATATCAAAAATATTTGTATATAACAATAATATTTAAAGTACTCTATTTATACTGTATAATAATAATATTTAGACTATTTATATAAATTATTAATTCAATTGATTCAATTGTATAATTGTAGATATTAAAAATCAATTTTTTAAACTTTAAAAAAGTTTTTAATAAGATAACCTTTCTTGGGCTTCTAATTAAAGTTATAAAGAAGATTTTTTTGATTCTAATAGTGTTTAAATTATCAAAATTAGCTTGGTGGATCCTATGATATTTAGGTTTAAAAGCATAAATATAAAAATCTACAAATTGAGTATTATAGTCTATAATACTATATTTATATCTTTAATTTCAAATATCTTAGAATTTACTAGTCTGATTTTAATGATTTAAATACTATTAAAATTAGAAAAATTAGCTCTACAACTTTAATTAGAAGCCAAAGAAGGTTATCTTATTAAATTTTTTTTAAATTTTAATTATATATAATATATATATTTTAAAAAATTAAAAAAGTTTTAAATATGACAATTTTTTTGGACTTCTAAGTAAAGTTGTAGAAAATATTTTGTTAGTTTTAATAATAAAAATTGTTTAAAACCTAGCACTTTATGAAATTATTTAATTTTTTTAATTTTTTTGATTTTTAATTAATTAATATTAAAGTTAATATTAAGATTTGATAGATATTTATATATAATAAAATTATATTTCTAATACTTTTACTTAGTGAATCAAGATCAGTTTAAAAAACTATTATTTTTATATTTCATGTTTTTGTCTTTGTTAGTTTATTTTGTTTTTTTTAGACTAACCTAGGTTATATTATATAATAAATTTTTAAACAAATTTATCTAAAAAAGCTTACAAATTAAAAAATAAATAAAAAAATCAAATTTTAAAAAATTTTAAAAAATTAAATTTTATCTTGAAGCAACGCCCGGGTTTACAACTAATATTAAAAAAAAAAAAAAAAAATACTTATAAGAATACTGAAAAGCGAAACTGAAAGTCTATTTCAAAGATCTAACTATAGACGCCAAAAGAAATGAGGAGTCGAAAGAAACAGGAAGTCGAAAAAAATGAGGAGCTGAAAGAAACAAGAAGCCGATAAAAATGAGAAATCAAAAGAAACGAGGAGCTAAAAGAAACAAGAAGTCGAAAGAAATAAGAAGTCAAAAGAAACAAGAAGCTAATAGAAACAAGAAGCTGAAAGAAACAAGGAGTCAAAAGAAACAAGGAGTCAAAAAAAATGAGGAGCTGATAGAAATGAGGAGCTGATAGAAACAAGGAGCTGATAGAAACAAGGAGCCAATAAAAATGAGGAGCCGAAAGAAATAGAAAGCTGAAAGAAACAAGGAGCCAAGAAACCTGAAAGAAAAAAAAAGAAAGTTAGTATATTAAACATATTAAAAGCGAAAAGAAAAGAGTCGTCAGAAATGAAGTTTAAAGTAAAATATAAAATATAGTAGATAAAATTTTTTTATATCGATATAGTTAATATCAGTCGATGTCATTGCACAAAACAAAAAATAGAAAAAATTGATAGTAGTTAGACTTGAATATTTAATAGAGTAAAAAAAAAATTAAATATACAATTATGTACTTGTTTAGCTCTAAATAGAGTAAAATCAATAATATAGAAATAGAAATCAAATCTTCAAAATCATCTATTGCTATATATACAGAATAGTATAATAATAACAGCAATCAAGATCAAATGACTATAGTATATAAAAGTTAGACTAACAATCTCATGTAGTGACACAAAATATAGGAGCAAGTATTACTTCAGATGCAAAAATATAATATGCGAAGTTTGTTTTGCCATATATATATACCCAATAAGATGCAAGATTTTGCGTACGAACGGTATTTAATTTGCCATATAACTATATACTAAGTAAAATTTTTAAATAAAAATTGGAAAAATATCAGTTTAAATCGATAGTTTTATTACCTGTTTGATATATTACTAATTTTATAACTATATTCGTTAAATATATCAGGATATTTATAAACATTTTGATAGGCCTATCAAATATTCTGATAGGCCTATTGATTATGCCAATATCTCTATAATATTTACTTGAAATATCAAAACACCCAATATGTTCCCAATATTTACCCGACATACATACTCCCAATATAGCTTCATTTGACCTGTATACTAAAAAACTAGACTTAGAGCTCTAAAAAAAAAAAAACTATAAAGAATATTCTGTTTCTTAAAAGACTTGAGTAAAAAGAGCAAAAGCAATAAAGATATAAAAGAAAACATAAAAAATTATTGATAATTTTTGTATTTTGCAAATTTTTTAAGAAATTGATCTTGATTTTGTAATAACAGGAGAGACTGTTTTAAATAAAGAAATAATAATTCTGATCATATATATTGTTTTAGCCAATCAAAATTGTAAATTTTTATAATACAAAACTTATTATGTGTTAATTAACTAATTAAAATTAAATTTTTATACAAAATGAAAAGAAATAAAATTTAATTAAAATTTATAATTAAAGTTTAAAAAAATGTTATTATTAGATAAGCAAGCATATAGAGATGAATCAATAAAAATCAAGCAAATTATTTTTATTAAATTTTTTTTAAAACTTTATATATTAATAATTTAACTAAAACTTAATTAAATTTAAGAAAAATTTTTTTTAAATAAATTCTATAAGTTGTAGAATTTATTTATAAAAATTTTATTAAATTTAATTAAGTTTTTGTTAAATTATTATTGTTTAAAGTTTAAAAAACATTTATTTAAAAAAATTTTGCTTAGTTTCTATTGATTCAACCCTATATATTGATTAATTTAAATTGAGATTATTAATTTTTCAATAGTATTTGTTTCTATTTATTTACAAAATCTCAATCATCTATATATGACTATACAGATTGAATAAAGCCATATCAGAAATATGCAAATCAGGTAAAAATCAGAGATATATTAGGAGCTAATATATGCTAATATCTAGTATCAAAATATTATAAAGCTATTAGAAATATCAATAGACCTATCAAAATATCTAAAAATATTTTGATATGCTTTAATAATATAGAAATAAATTGGTAATATATTAAAAATTTTTTTTTTTTTTTCCCATAATATCAGAGTAGAAACTTTATTACATTTTTAGAAAACAAAAGTTCTAAGATTAAAGATTTCTAACTATATTTGTGCTACAAAATTGGCA